TTGCAAATCTTCTTTATGCACCAAGAGCTTGTAACACTCCAAAGAGAAAGGAAAAATTGAAATCACATCATATTACCCCTTTAAGACTCGTCCATGCCCTCCTAAAATGCCTCATTCAAATATGCCCCCACATGTCTACGTCACTGTGTGGGAAGATTTGAATAATACCGCCAAAATGTTCACGCAAAGAAAGAAGGCGTAACTTTATTGTTGCTGCCACCGTGGCGGCACCGCCATGTCGTGAAGACGCTGTGCATTTCGTTGCGAAAGTGAAAATACTTTGTTTGGTCTTCCAAAAGAGGACACGACTAGAAATCAGTGGTTAAGTTGTTTTACAACACTGTTCCCGAACAGTTCAACACAAATACTCAGATATGTTCAGTGCATTTTACAGAGGACTGTTTCCTGATCCTGGGAGAGTAGACTACAATGCCGGCTGTTCTGACTCACAGACTGTAAGTATGTTTTCATATTTAAAGAATTTGCCACTGAAGATTCAAACGCGAGTTTTGAGCAGATTAGAGTAGCACTTGTTGTTTGTCGTTTCTCCGATCACAAATGCAGACATGGTTTTATGTTTACGCAACGCGATGCAACGCAATGTGTAAAAAGATAGTATAAGTCTTTATAATCCGTAATTATGTCCCCACTGGATGCAACAAATGCCTAGTTTGTAATGGGTTTTAATTTTTTTGTCTCATCGCACCGGGACACGGCATCACAATATGGTAAGGGGCGTAACATTTCCGTCACATGCTTGAGGTATTCGGCCAATCACAACGCACTGGATAGCTGGCCAATCACAGCACACCTCACTTTTCAGACCGATGAGCTTTGCAAAAATCGACGCGTTTCAGAAAGGTGGGGCATAGAGGAGAAACAATAATGTACAGTATGTGGAAAATAATGTGTTTTTTTACCTTAAACTGCAGAAACACACTTCATTACACCAAATACACAAAATAATGTTATTTTAAGCAACATTATACGACCCCTTTAAATTGTAATAAAATTTGACAATATTACTGTTTGTACCATACTTTTGGTGAAATAAATCTTGCCTGGTGAGCATAACAGACTTCTTTCAAAAACATTTCAAAATCAACCACACGTGATACAATAGAAACATAAAGAGTCAATCTTTGCTCATATCCATAAGTACGGTGATTCAATTTATAAAATTCAATTTGAACTGTTCACAACATGAGTCGAAACCAACCAGATATACATTTGTTGAGGTTTGAGCGCTGTTTTAATGCAAATAAAGTGATTTGTTTTTAATTAGAGGTGTTCTTCTAAAAGCTGGCTGTAGGATTCAGATCCAGCGCTGCCGGTGTGGCGAGAGGATCCTCTGTAAAACCCTAAGTTGAATTTTTACTGATCTAGTCAAGGTGGGCAGGAAATACGCTGAGGTGTTTATGAGGGCTGGGTCGAAGTTATGAGAGCACTCGTTACTTTCAGATCATTTGCAGTGTATTAGCCAGACGGGAGACGTGTCTTTTTATCCTCTTCTGTTGCTGGTGTGATTCCTCCGCTCCAGTGAGAGTTCAACTGAGCGTAGCGTCAGCCATTCACAATGACGAATGGCAAACTAAAACACGAGCCAGCGCAGATTACACTGTTTATCTGTGTTTTTAAATAGACTGAATAGTTTTCTTGCCCTTGGCAGCTTTTCCTTGAGAGAGTGAGGTGTGTCGCATTCATCATTTGGAGGTCAGCATGTCTCTGCTTTAGAAATCGCCAAAGTACAGCACATGCAAGTACATGGGTGTTTGTGAGCTATTATAGTGATATGACATTTTCAGCAGTAGATTGCATCAGTATAGTTAGGCAACATTTTTATCAAGTGTTTTTTTTTTTTTTTTTTGAAGAAATTGCTCAAGACTATTCGCACAGATATTGGACAAGATGTGACCTCCGTTCCTTTGTGAAAATGCTCTCTTTGTCAACATCAGCTTCTCTGTATTGAATAAGCCCCTAACAGTAAGTGAAATTAACAAATGGGAAGTTCCCATAACTATTCAAGTGGAAATTGTGCACAAGAAATGACCAAACTTGTTTCCAGGTCAGATGTAATCACAGCTTTGTGATCCCTGGTGACTGTACGCTAAAATGCAACGCTCCGTCTCATTGGTGGAGCTTCACTTTAGTGCAAAAAGAAGGGATGGGGATGCAATATTTGAAAGTGTTTACACTGATTTTTCAATGGTGACATAACTGTATTTACATGCGACTCACAGTTGTGGGAAACCATGCATCTACAGTGGGTACGGAAAGTATTCAGACCCCCTTAAATTTTTCACTCTTTGTTATATTGCAGCCATTTGCTAAAATCATTTAAGTTAATTTTTTTTCCTCATTAATGTACACACAGCACCCCATATTGACAGAAAAACACAGAATTGTTGACATTTATGCAGATTTATTAAAAAAGAAAAACTGAAATAACACATGGTCCTAAGTATTCAGACCCTTTGCTCAGTATTTAGTAGAAACACCCTTTTGATCTAATACAGCCATGAGTCTTATTGGGAAAGATGCAACAAGTTTTTCACACCTGGATTTGGGGATCCTCTGCCATTCCTCCTTGCAGATCCTCTCCAGTTCTGTCAGGTTAGATGGTAAACGTTGGTGGACAGCCATTTTTAGGTCTCTCCAGAGATGCTGGTCTCTATCTATCTTGGTCTCATCAGACCAGAGAATCTTATTTCTCACCATCTTGGAGTTCTACAGGTGTTTTTTAGCAAACTCCATGCGGGCTTTCATGTGTCTTACTCTGAGGAGAGGCTTCCGTCGGGCCACTCTCCCATAAAGCCCCGACTGGTGGAGGGCTGCAGTGATGGTTGACTTTCTACAACTTTCTCCCATCTCCCGACTGCATCTCTGGAGCTCAGCCACAGTGATCTTTGGGTTCATCTTTACCTCTCTCACCAAGGCTCTTCTCCCCCGATAGCTCAGTTTGGCCGGACGGCCAGCTCTAGGAAGGGTTCTGGTCGTCCCAAATGTCTTCCATTTAAGGATTATGGAGGCCACTGTGCTCTTAGGAACCTTAAGTGCAGCAGAAATATTTTTGTAACCTTGGCCAGATCTGTGCCTTGCCACAATTCTGTCTCTGAGCTCTTCAGGCAGTTCCTTTGACCTCATGATTCTCATTTGCTCTGACATGCACTGTGAGCTGTAAGGTCTTATATAGACAGGTGTGTGGCTTTCCTAATCAAGTCCAATCAGTATAATCAAACACAGCTGGACTCAAATGAAAGTGTAGAACCATCTCAAGGATGATCAGAAGAAATGGACAGCACCTGAGTTAAATATATGGGTGTCACAGCAAAGGGTCTGAATACTTTGTTATATTTCCATTATGGAATATATATATATATTTCATATATATATGTTATATAGACCATGTGATATTTCAGTTTCTCTTTTTTAATAAATCTGCAAAAATGTCAACCATTCTGTGTTTTTCTGTCAATATGGGGTGCTGTGTGTACATTAATGAGGAAAAAAAAATAACTTAAATGATTTTAGCAAATGGCTGCAATATAACAAAGAGTGAAAAATTTAAGGGGGTCTGAATACTTTCCGTACCCACTGTAAGTTTTGTGCACAGCCAATAGAAAACAAGAAGGTGTGTGCTGATTGGAATGACTGGTAAATCTTCATCTGGCTCTTAAAGATGCAGTCCAAGGAAAAGGGTAGACTGAGACTGAAGAGCCACACTATAAAAAAAATAATAATATAAAATAAAAAAGTATTAAAATATGTGACATTTACGGTAAAATACCGGCAGCTGTGGTTGCCAGAACTTCACCGTAAAAATATAATAGCAACATTTTAGGTTTTACAGACTTAACTTAAATTCACACACAAAAAAAACATATTTCATTAACTGATGTAATGTTAATATACCAACCTATTAAAGTACTAATATCTTTTTTGCGCCACTGTACAAAATACACTGATAACCACCAAAAACAGATGGTGATAAGAAAGTCACACGATGAATCAAAGCTCATCACAAACTGCTTTTCCACAAACTGAGAAGGTACACTGTGCCATTCACACAAATACTAAACACCATCATGGTGACACATTGAAATAATGCAATAAACATTCATTTAACAACACTAGATGTAAGACAAAACCCTAATGTAAACAACTGATAAGAAAAAAAAATTAAATACGAAGAAACTTAGTAAAACTTCAAATATGAAGTGTGATGCAAGTAATTCTGGGAGTGTCAAATTGCATTTTTTTGCACTGTAAATTATACAATGGTGATATTTTTCATTTCCAAAAACTGTAATTTTAACAGTATTTTACTGTGAAATATAATTAAATGCATTCACCATATAGTAACTTACTGTTAACCAACTAACAGGTTTTTACTGTATCATTTTTACAGTCTTTTACTGTTAAAACCACAATATTTTTTTTTACAGTGCAGAGGAATTCATAATTTTCTACATTCTGACAATCAATAAAACGGTCTATACTGGAAGTTCCAAAGTGCAATGACTTGTAGCGATGCACCTTCAGTTTCTTTTATCAGCTACCGCTTTTATTGCAGCTTTTTATGAAAATAAATAAATAAATAATAAAAATAAATAAATAACCACTTTTTTTTCATTAAAACTTTAAGCAAAATCATTAAGTGGAATCTTTCCAATAGAGGAAACCTTTACATACCTATATAAAAGCTATTTGTTTTTATTAAAATAAATAAATACATAACTTAATAAATAGGTTAATTATACCAATGGATTTCCAAAAAAACCAAAAACAAACATCGTTTATCTTCCTATTTATTGCAGCTGATCTCACAGCTGATTTAGTGGACGCTTCCAGAGCTCTGGCGGCGCGTGCGGCGCGTGCGGCGCGTCCAGAGAGACAGCAGAGTGGAGAGTAATTGAATTGAATCAACGCGTAACACCGCCCCCTTTACGCGGGGATCAGCCTCTTCCGTGCCGCACACAGAACCGCCCTGGACCGGGCAACGAACAGAGGGAGGGAATGAAAGAGTGATTGAGATAGAACAGAGAAAGAGAGAGGGAGGAAAAGAGACGCTCCAGTACTTCAGAGATCGGACCTTGTTAAGGGGAAACCGGTGTCATTTCTAAGAAACTCCAGGCACACAGACGGACTTTGGAGGACACATTTGGGACTAAAAACATCCAAACTGACTTTGTGCATTGAATGCGTGACCATGACAGCAGCTGTCGATATTAAGCCGTTAACTATAATAAAATCTGAAAAAGTAGACGGTAAGTGCTCGAACCGTTTTCTCATCCTTATTGTTTTGATTTTAGATTATTGCAAAACGCGTCTTCATCACTTGTCTAGTCAGTTATGAGTAACTTTTGTGCATACCGAGGTAATGTCTGTGTGAAATGCATTGCAATCGAGATAATGCAACATACAGTCATGATTTGATGTCAGACCGTAATTTCCCGAAACTCGTTGCAACATCAAATGCTTTTGATCAGCGAGTGATAGACAGGTATAACAGCCTGCACGCGGCGCTCCAGATGTGCCAGCCGTTGATTTAATGGTATACAAATAATCTCTGTTATGTAACGTAGTAATACGAACCCATTGGTTTTTACACAGCTAAGTGAGCACATGTAGTTCACTCCTAGTCTAATTTCAACCAAGTTAGTGAATGTGTTTTATATGTGACCACAATTGAAACCAGTGAGGAAAAATCGCTTAGTTGTTCAATAAGAAAGAAAACAGAAAGTTGCATACAATAGACTAAGATGATGTTGTGTTATCAGGCATTTGTGGGGAAAGGTATCGATTAATACAATAATACATATCTTTTTACTTTGTTACATGTATTACACTTTTTTTTCCCTTCCAGTTTGATTATGCAAATCAGCAAGTTACATATTGAGATTGATCAACCTTTTTTTTTCCCCACTGGCCACAAATGTGACCACCGACATGTTTGCATGTATTGTGATCATGAGACCACAATAATAGACTGTTTATATACTCTTTAAATGTTATAGGCATCAGATTTGTTAAACAGTATGTGTATTATGACATGTTTTACGTGATTTATTTTATTGAGCTTTCAGATTGGAATTAAATAGCTCTGGTCGTGTGACAACTTCTGACAGTCCTGTACAAATGTTCTTATGAAATGTAGTCATTCTTCACTTTAATTTATAGTTGACAGCCCTGTAAATGTATGTCACACATGTTACCGGCAGAATTAAATGGGTTAAATACTGTGATATTGTATTAGGAAATTCAGACCATATCATTGTTTTTCAATCATTTGAACAGCTATACTGATATTATGTGCAAAACTGGACTCTTTTATTGCTACGGTGCAATAATGAGAGCAATGTAATAATTTAGCAAATACTGTACATGAAGAGTCTGACACCAGACTGATGTTGACTGCCACACATGGCCTCTCATGACATGACACACGTTTTCTATTTTATATAGTCGTGATTCATTTCATGCGTGACCAGCAGGCTTGAATTTTAACTACAAGTGTGATTATTTTCATGTAAAGCTGACTTTCAGAACATTGCATCATCTAATGTGCTTGTGCATTTAGTGTAAGTTCATTATTTGGTCATTGGCTGAGCCCTGAGCTTTCAGTCCTTTTATGCAGATATTATGGGCCTCCTTGTTAATGTGCGATTAAAGTTGAATCTTTCTTTCTTTCTCTTTGTTTTGATGTAAGTGTGCTTGTGCAACCTCACACATGCATGTCATGACAGGGAATTTCCCTTTTGGCTAAAGAGTGGTCAGTGACAACTGAATGAAATTTGTCATGATGCTGCTTCACTGTCCATTCATACCACATCCATTAACCCCCACCGCTGACCCAGCACGGCTCAGGAGGGGCCACATGCCTGACCAGGGAGAAGGGAGGGAGAGAGGGAGGAAAGATGCCATGCTGGTTAAACAGTCAGCAGTCTCACACTCCCCCTCTGTACTCCTGAGGACTGGAATAAAGCGACGAGTATGCAAGTGGGATGTTAGCACATGCCTCGGCCCGGTGGACTCTTTAAGAATATGACCCTCTTCTTTGGCTCGGAAGGGCAGGGTGAGTTCAGTGGCCGCTAGTTTCCCTACGATAAAATGCTGACTGGCTTCGACCACAGCTGGTGATTGTACACACATAATTCTGACTCCCTACCTCTCAAACACACTACCAGCTGTTAATACATCATGGAAAAAGGCATTCACATTTGCAAGCATGTCAGAATGAAAGCTAAAACATAATGACTCCAGAGCGATGTGCAAGATCTGATATGAATCATTACCACGCTTGCATATTCTTGCATGCACAAGGGCCTGCTCTCTTTTCACACACAGTCGCAGAGTTTACATTTACAAATGCACTGGCACATGAACATGCACAAGCACTCTCCAACACACATGCACAAGCTTTCTCCTCACATGGAAAAACAGTTGTGTGCTGTTAAAAAAAAATGCTGATACTTGCAGCGGGGGTTGCCAAAATATCGTGCTATCTTGCAAAACAATTTCTCAAGACGTGCTCCCTCGAGTTCAGTCAACCGTGAGTGTTCGGGCCAGGTTGAATGGAGTGCTCTGGCAAAGACTGTAAAATCTACATAAGACTTGTTTACTGCTGGTCTGCTACTTTAGTCTTCTGGAAGAATGGATATGTGCACCTTGTTGGTCCAATGTTCAGCACAAAGTGCTTGTAGGAGTGTGAAGCTCTGACAGACTGGCACACATTATAGTTTCTAGCATGCACGCATCGTTAATACGGAGAGGCCGTAGACATTAAGCACCTGATCCCAGTTTGTATTGGGTCCTAAATCAAGACAAGCGAGCTGTGTTTTGAAGACAATGGCTAGTACAAAAACAAGCCCGCCTTCCCATGCCCCCCATTTGCTTTTTGACTCTGTTTATACAAAAGTGATGAATGTTGTTTAGAGTTCAGTCAAGATTATCTGATTTACCCCAGAGACATGTAGTGCATGAAGAGACAATGGGACCTACACAAGAACGGGATAGCCTCGATAAACACACTTACGTTCATTAATGGAATTGCTAAAATAAGATTGCGTATTGAGTTAGCACAAAACACTCTCGAGGAACCCACAGAGAGTTTGGAAGCAATGGGTTTACATGAAAAAGATTGACCGTGCGACCTGCTAAGGAGCCTACAAGTCATTCACAAGTATGAATCATGTGTTGTGGTGCAGCACAGATGTTAGAACGGCCTTATGGTCAAAGATAAACCCATGTAACATCTGCTACCAAAATGGCTAATGTTGTTACTACCCAGCCAGTTTTGCTGTGCCAGAAGTCTTCTGCATTTTCTGAGAGCTTTGCTTTGAAAGGGGCGTAGTCAAAATGCTTGACAACAGGGTCGCTCCTTTCATCTTTGCCCAAAGACTACTTAGCACTGTGAAATGAGTCAGCAACAACATGAGAAACAGTCAGGGGTCACCTCCCACTCATTTCGGCCTAGAGAAATAACCCTTGATGAGGATATCTGGTCTTCCCTTTCTCCTTCTTTTTCACTCTTGCCCTGTGTCCATCTCAGGGTTCAGCGAGTGACAGGAATGTCTGAGGATTGGGTAGGCTGCCTATTGCCCGCCTTTATCTGATTAATACACTGCTCTCTCTCATCCCAATCCCCTGCTAGGTCCCTGCTCGTACACCCTTACTTTAGATACCCACACACTGAGCACTAGAGCAAAAGCAAGATGATGTGTGAAGAGATGATAATTCAAGCAGGCAGTCATCTTCGAGGGTGTATCTGAAAATGGCCTGGATTCCCAAGTTACATAACAGATAGGTTTGTAATATCAGACTCTTTGCACTTTCGCCAGGCCTAAGCATGCCTTGCTTACCGGACAGCTGTGCAAACACGGATCTGGGTAATCAAGGCTAGTCTGATGTGGGTCTCTGATCGCAACTTTTATAATTTGTTGAACAGTATACAAGTCACTTAGAAAAGCATTTACTAATGTGAGTTGTAGGGCATGCTTAAGGTTTAGAAGTGACGGGATTAATATTTAACACTCAAAACCAGACTCAGGCCTTGAGGCTAAGATGAAACACAGTTAGATCAGTGCGTTTTGCCTACTGTTAGTGAATGACTTCCCCTTCACAGAATGTTCACTAGCTACATGACTCCCCTGTCAACAATTCTTTCTGGTGAACACACGTTTTTATCGTTCCCTTTAAAGTTTAGTCATCAAAGGCTGAAGGGAGGTCCTAGCCTTTATTCCTTCAAGTTATTGGCACAAGCTAATGGCACAAACAAACTTTTTCAGAATAGTTACATGCGTCAGAATGACTGAACCATCCGTTTTCACTGTAGCATACTTGTGAAAGCCGTTTTGACCCACTTCACTGTGTTGCAATTTGAAGTCTTCCCAATAGTTATCTCTGGCCCTGCTTCTCTGAACTTCAAAAGACCAAAACAAAAGCAAAAGACACAGCATGTCCCAGAGCAGGGAAGAAATAACAACCCCGCTGTATTTTTTCAAAACTTTTACAGGATCCATTTTCTCCCCTGTGTTCCATGTCTCTCTTTTTTCCCTGCATTTGTCTCTCTACCGTCTGCGGGCCACATGGGCTCTTGCCCCGTCTCCCTGGCCCCTGATGTGGCGTCTGCCTAGTGTCGTCTTCTCATCCCCGCCATGTGCTACAGGCTAATTACTGAGTCACAGCCCCTGCCGTGCTGATCCAGCACCCACCCCTCCTCCCATAAGACATTAGCCCACCCCATTCCCTCTGAGGCTTTCTGGTGGGCTCTAGACTGCCTCCTGGGTGGTGGGAGGCCCTTGAGGTGAGTAAGCCAGCCGGATCGGTGCCTGCCTTTCCATGCCACTCTTGTTTTTCACTGTGGCTGTTTTGCAGATGTCTACTGAGTACAACAGAGAGACACAGAGGGTGGCGTCGGATCTGCTTTTGAGATCAGAGCGGCATCCTAACTGGTTCTGGCTACATGTCTCACAATTCAGGGAGGTAGAGGAAGAACTGTTCCCAGATTCCACTCTCCCATCAGTGTATGCACTTTCACCAAGTCACCTGTTTTAGGCCTCAGTAGTCGGAGCTGGTTTTGTAATTATCCTACTTTTGTCTCACTTCTTTGAACACAGTCCCTACCTCAGAGGCATATTGACAAAACGCTTCTGGCTACCAGTCCGGTTACATATGAAATCTTAAGCTGTTCTCTGAGGTCCAGGTGTTTGGCTGTAGCCAGCTTTACGGTCTCTTTCGGTTTGTGTGTGCTACTTGATGTACAGCT